CTGCAAAGAAGGCCGATGCCAGGATGCGCAGGCTTTCTGCGGAAAGAGACCTTCGACACAAGCAGTGGGAAAAGTTTATGGCAGACCAGAAACGGAATTTCCAGAAGCAGAAGCGACTTTTCGGGGAGGATGTTGCCAAGCTGGATCAGGAAATCCAGGCTGCCGCCGAAGCGGGGAAAGCAGCGGCCGATCGGATGAAGCTTATCGTTCTGCAAGGTGCCGAAGCCGCCGCACTTCCGGCTGCTGCCCCTTCCCCGGACGAAGGCGAATGGGAAAGGCTTATGGAAGCCGACGATATGGCTCTGGCTTTCTGCGCGAGGCCTTCCAGACTGCTCAGCAGGCTGGACAAGGCTCTTTGCCGCTTGGACACGCTGCCGGTCCACCTCCGGGCTTGGTTGCAGGAGGGCTTGGCATGCCTGCTTACAACCATGCCTCTCCGGCCCCAGCCAGGGATGGGCTTTGCGGCGGATACCACGCCTCAGAGGGGAGCTGCGGCCCTGCCAAGAACGCCACCTCCCTCTACTCATGTTCCGGCGGGGCACCCTGCTCCTGCCCCAGAACCTCCACCTCCTTCTGGAGAGATGCCGGGTTATGGAAGGAGCCCTACCCTGAGCGACCGAGTTCAGCGCAGGCGTGCCATGGAGCCCTTCGGGAACGCAAGGCCAACGGACGCAGAGGCCGCCAGACTGGAGCCAGCGGGCCCTGGTCCTACTCCGAACGCGGAAGGAAGTCTCATCGCTCCAGCCGGTTTTCGTATCCTGGAGGACGACGACGAGGACGAATTGGACGAGGCAGCTGGAGACGAGAATCTCAGCTAGCGGCTGCTTGCCCGGGTGAAGGTTCCAAAGGGTGTCTCCCTGACCTGCCCATCCTCGGACTGCATTTGGGTACGCTAGTCTGTGGGTGTGGCGGCGATGGCGACGGCCCAATGCGATCCTTTACCCGGCTGGAGCAACCCGAGGTCAGTGAACGCTTTTCTGTACAGTGGGCTGTACAGGTTTTGTGCTTGCAAGTCGCTGCCCCCGGAACCTCCATGTCCATTTTCAGCTTCCTCCGTGCCCTGAGCACTTTTACCTGCTCTTCCCCTGTCTTTGTCGGGGCTTGGATTTTTCCCCTAGTGGAATTCTCCCCCATACCTTCTCCCTGGAATCGGCTCGTCTTCGGCCTGTCATCCGTCCCCAGCGTCAAGCTGCCGCGGCCCGTGCCACACTTGGAGCCCGGCTGCATGGTTCCAGTTTTGTAACCTTGCCGCACATCAGGCCCGCTTGCCTTCACTGTTTCTGCTGCCCTGGGGTTTCTTTTTAAGGTTGTCCGGTGTTTGGGTAAGGGGCCTAAGAGAGGTATCGGTGGCTCTGGGACCTCCTCCTTGCCTGCACCGCGCACCCGCACCGTTGTGTGTCGAGCCCTGCAGGCTCCACCATTCCCCATCAGGTTTAGCAGAGGGTTTCTTAATAGGTGACTTCGACGCTCATATAAGGGGCCTAAGAGAGGTATCGGTGGCTCTGGGACCTCCTCCTTATTTGAGCATCGCTTCGCCCATGCCAGGTGTCGAGCTCTGTTGGCTCCGCCTTTTGCCGGCCTGCTTTGGAGTTATCTGGCCATACCTTGCTTGGCTAGGACGCTCGGCTTGTGTTCCTTTCTTCTTCACTATGACAGTGTTGCATTTGCTAGCCTTGTGGCGGCTTCTGCTCAAGGCGATATTTGGGAGCCACCCGCATTTACGCAGGCTTCTAGGTTTCTCGTGTGCCTGGGTTCCCTATACCCTTGCACTTCCGTGGGAATGCACTGGCAATCCATATTGGTCCAACGCACACAAGCCGCGCAGAGTGCGACCAGGCTGCCGACACAGAGGGCCACCGTTTTGGATGCGGGTAATTCTGCTTCTCGGAGTTCTGCCTATCCAGGTTTGGGGTATGCCTCCTGACACGGGGCCCGTCTTCACAGAGGCGTATGCAGCCCTGACGCCAGACCCTGGAGGCCCTGCAGACGGGCCACATGCAGAGCCGGGTCCCGCCTCAAGCAGTGCTGCTGACGCACAGCCTTCACACTTAAGCACCCTGCTAAACCCAGAAGACCTTCCTGACCCCTCTCCTTCTGCCCCGAGGCCTGACCGTCTTTCTGATGCTTCGGACTACCGTGCGACTGTCGAGGCTAACATTGCGTCAGGAGGTGCTTCTTGTTGCCTTCAGGCTCAGAGGGGCTTGTGTGTCCCCTCCCCTGGCATCCAGGTTTCAGCTCGTGTCACCTTGCGCACCCCTGGCCATAGGATGCAGACTACAGAACTCACCCTTGATCTTCCTCTCTCTTTGGAGGACTTTATTGATCGCATATGTGAAGCAGCCCCGGCTCCTCTTGATGATTGCTGGAACAAACTGGTTCCTGCCAACCCGCAGCTCGGCGACAGCGCGGCTGTCTTTCTGCTGGCTCCTCACTGGTTTAAGCAGGCTGGGTTGTCCTCCGTGCTCTTTGACGCCCGAGCGATGACTGGCAAGGTTTTTGCGGAGGTATTGCCTTGTCTTTCATGTCTGGAGGCCATTCGTAAGGTTGCTGGACCATGCGTCATTGAGCCTTTTGAGGTCTTTATAGCGGGTGGGCTGCAGTCACTGCGCCCAGGGCAGACTATTCGAATTGAGGAAGGTGACACAATATGCCTCACGCCCGCCGGGCACGTGCCATTGTGGGGCCCCACCTTGACCCGTTCGCTTTTGCAACCTACCCCTTGGCTGGGCCTGGACCCGATCCCAGCTACACCACGAGCGCTCTGCGTTTTGGTGCTGCACGAGTCAGGCAAGTATCTTTTTGGGGATTTTGTGCAGTGTGACTGGCAGAACATGCTCAGAATCACACACCTAGTGGGTGTCGAGATGTCCGAGTCGCGTATGGTGTCTGCCCAAGGGCTCACTCCTTACACTTACCACGGGACCCCGATGCGGGGGGTGATCGCGGTTCTCGGACATTGTGTCCACCGCGACCAGCAAAATAGACCTCTGCCCGCTGTTCTTTTCCTTGATGCCAGGCCAGTTGGACAAGATGTGAACTTCTGCGTCTTGGATCACTACTTTGTCTCTCGGGACTTCTTGCAGCAATACGTCACGTGCCCGACACCGCCTGGGCACAGACTGGCAGTTATGGGAGGGCAGTTACGGGACAATGGCTTTGAGTTCCACGGAGGTGAGGTCTTGACTCTCGCGTTTTTGCCATATGAGCAAGGGGACTCTGAAGCGCCAGAATCGGAGCCTGGCGGTTCTGACGACCCCTTTGATTCGCCCGATGACGGCAACCGATCGGACGAGTCAACCAGGTCCCGCTCTCACAGGTGTAATAGGTCTCCATCCAAAGCCAGTGGCGACAGCTCTTACCACAGTCACTTGCCACCCCCGGCTGCCTCAGAAGACTGCACCCACAAGTCTGCTGCGCTATCGGGATTCTCCCCGTACCGCCTGCAGCTGCTGCTCGAGGTCGGAGTCTATGAGGATCCGGGATCCTTCTTCGATGGCGGTATTGCTATCCCCGTGCTGCCGGTCTCCGTAGAAGTCAGCATCCGCAGAGGGATTGTTCTCGGCCTACCCCATCTGCGCACTATTGGCGCCGCCCCTGCCATTAAGCAGTTTAGGGTGCCTGACCTGTCGGGTTTCAGTGTTCGCCTGACACGTGTCTCTGGTGAAACACCGCCGAGGCTCCCGCCGCTGCGAGATGTCGGAGATCGTTCGCCGACGAGACCCGATGATTTCAATCCTGTAATCTGGGCGCCTGACGCTGGCCCACCGGTCCCAATTGTCACTATGCGAGTGTTGGTTGGCTTGCTCATCCCGTGTTACCGCCCTGAGCTTGTTCCCCTCACCCTTCCAGTGCCTTGCGATATCGCACAAGCCATGAGGGAGTTGCAGGTATATCGGTACCCAGACATCAGGCACTTTTTCCCGCGCCTCGTTCCGATGCCCTATCAGCCGCTGACCACGTGTGCTGTGTTTATGGCTACAACTTGTTGGCCCAAGACCTCCGTGGAAGTGATGCTTGATTGTCGCCAGATTACCGGATTGCTGTTCGCTGCCTCAGTTCCACCCCTTGCCACGGCAGCCCTCCTTGCTGAGCATGCAGGTGTTGCGTGGTGGCGGTTTGCTGAGGTGTGGGTGGAACCCTTTCTGCGGCCAATGCAGGGCTCTGATGTGGCTCGGCTGCAACCGGGATTCGTTGTGGTCTTTCAATCGGCTGGCGAGGCAGCACCCAACCCTGGCGACCTCTCGACCATGCTTAGGAGTACGACAGGGTGGGACCGGGATGCTCACCTGCCATTCCTCTTCGACCCCTCTATTTTCATCCTGTCGGATGAAGGGTCTTTCCGGTTTGCCTTGGGAGGTGAAAGGCTTCAAAGGTCGGTCTTGGCTGGCCTGCTTGAGACCCTGAGAGGACCATTGCGGTGCCTCCTGAGCCGCCCATCCGCAATTATTGTGAACTGGGAGCGGCCACTTCGGCGGTACTGATTGTCTCCCAGCGGCTCCCTCCCACGAGGGGCTTCCGCAGAGGGCCTTGCGCAGTTATACTCGACCAGAGGCCTATTTTTTGTGGGTGTTACGTGGCAGATCGTCTGGGACGGGATGTTCCCCCTCCGGCAGTATGTTGCCGATCGTGCCGATCGGTGCCCAAGTGGTTTTCAGGTTGCTGTGCAGGGCGCATTCCCCATCGCAGGTGGGGACTTTCTGAGCGTTTGTGATGGTACCCTTGTTGTCAGCTATGTCCTCATTCAGCCAGTGCACGCCGATGAGGATAGTGATGAATCCGAATCCGGATCCTCCGTGCACACAATGATGTCTGACTCTGACGATGAAGCCAGTTCTGATGATACCGGTGGTGCGAGTGGGCATGCCCCTGCCGGCCCCCCACTGCCTCGGCCTATGCTTGGGACTGGGAGCGCGCTCCGCAGGGAGCTTCTCCCGGCTTTTCTTCTGGCTGCCTGCCTTACACCTGTGACGGCTGGCTCACCCCTCGCTCCGTCCCCAATCATGCCGGCTGCTGCGGCTGTCGGGACAAGAGATCTCCTGTTCCGGCTCCTGGGCCCCCCAGCTGTCCTGTACCTGCTCCTAGGCCACGCCTTTAAACTGCTATGTGAACCCGATTGTGTCCGGTTTGCGACCCAACAGGCCGTGGCTGCACTGCGGTCCATTATGCGATTGCTGGGGGTTGCCTGGCCATATCTCCCGTCGAGTCTTGAAGGCTTTTATGCACCCGAAGTTGACGAGGACCCAGACTATGCCGTCCATGAAACTGAGGCGCTCATCAACTTCGTTGTTTTGAAGCCTGAATATGTCAAGGAAACAGCCTCTTTGAATCTCACTCTGCCTTGTACTTTGGGTGAGGCGATTGAAGTCCTTCAAGCCGCCCGGACCACCGAGGACTTTATCAGGTTCCCGCATCTTCACGCGGTGAACCCACAATCGGTGCCAGGCCACGCTGTTTTTGTCGCTGGCCCACGCTGGTACCCGGCCACATTGATCATCTGCGTCAACACAATTGCCATCGATGGCAGGTTGTTTGCAGCCAAAAACGGTGAATACGCGGATTACGATTCCCTTTGTTGGCACGCAGACTTGCCTTCGGGCGCCGGCTATCAGGTCTACGTAGGAGGCGACGACCAGCCGCTTTTTTCAGGTGTGCGCATCCATCTCTCGGATGGGATGCAGGCGGTGTTTGTTGCCGACGATGAGCTGCCGAGCCCGGGCCTTCCTTTGCCTCTGCTCCTTACTCTCAGTGAACCTTGGCAAGCCCCAAGCGAGCTGCCCGAGCCTAACATCAGGGATGCATATCTCTTAGTCTCGAAGGATAGTCACATGCTGCACATAGAGGACTTTGGCCAACCTTTCAGGTTCCGAGAAAACATCGCAGCACGGGCAGGGCTGCGCTCGCAGGCGTTCCACATCCTGCCGGCATTCGGAATGTCGCCATCGATGGGGTCACCTGTCGCACCATTCTTGCTGCGTGCACCTGTGCCGATGGTGTCGATCGGTGTCGGGGTACCTTTTTTGATCTGCGCCCCATTCAGGAGGGCATCAGATTTGTCTGTCGCGACGACCAGACCATCGATCTTGGATCCCTTGAAGAGGCTTTGGCTGAGGCAGCCCCCATCGGCTGGGGGCCACAGATCCGGTACGAAGATTGGTCCGAGCTTAGCCCACCATGCCACCCCGGGGCGGTTTTCACGGTTGAGTACGTGCCAAACATGCCGCCGGATCCTGGGGCGGAAGAGGTTGCTCAGGCCGGTGCCTCCGGCACTGAAGACGCAGGCAAAAATGAGCAGCAAGGAGGTCAGCAGGCCGGGGCGGCCCGGAACCGCGAGGCTAGGTTTTCCCGTGACACCGGGGACCCACAATCCCCTGCCGATGACGACCTCTCCAATGGTGATGAAGGGGCGGGGGGCCCCGCTCTAAGCCCCGACACCGCCCTTGATGGAGGTTTTTTGCCCCTGCAGTTTTTGCTCTATTCACCGGAGTACAAGCCCGAAGGCATTGCGCCGGGCCTGATCACATCGTTGCTATTCTCGGCCACCATTCCCAGATGCGGGCCGCTGAAGATCATCGGCGCAGCCCCAGGCTTATCCCGGTGCACCCCCAGCCGCAGAACCATCCAGCTGCCTTGCTTGCTTTGCTTCTCTGGCCCACCGAAACTGTGGTTGTGCTTTTTGATTCTCACGTCGCACCGAGGCGGGTTTTTGCTGCCTGTGTCCCGCGCTTCTTCACCAAAAAGGATGCACTCTTTATGGCTCAGGTCGATCCGCTTACGGATTGCGAAGTCTTCCATCGCGACGTCCCATGGCCCATCCCGGATGGGTACTGGATTTACCCCGAGGAGGGTGATTTGATCGCGTTCCACCCCGCAGGCGTGCTTCAGGCACATGGGGGCGGATTTCACCAGCTTCTTCAAGGGGAGATGCGAGCTGGACCCCTTCCCGTCGGCCTGTGGGACTCAGAAATAACCTGGGTGCTGTCCGATGGGCCTCACGTCGCAGTCCCTGTCCCTGAGGATCAATTCGCCCTGAACAGCGCTCAGGCTGCAGCTGCGCTTGGTTTAAGGCCCGGCCACTTTCTGTTGGTCCCTACTACACCAGAGATCGTCGACCATGCTCGGCACGGGACGCCATCCCGCCGAGCGCTCATTGCAGTGCAGGCTGAGGGAGAGCAGGATGTCAGTGTCAGGCACAGTGTCCCGTATGTGTTTGACATGCGGCCAATACACCTGTATCTGTCCTCTGCCTCGGCCCCGGACGGAGTCGTTGACATTGTCGCAATTTGCGACAGGTTGAAGTGGCGCTGCCCACGAGGGTTCCATGTCCGCATCTACGGGGGGGTTTCTGACGCCGAAGCCGGAAGCCACGTGCGGCGAGTTGTCGCTGGAGACATTATCACTGCTGAATTCCACCCTGATTTTGTGAGGGAGGTTGTCACCAATCTATCCCCAGAATCGTACGCCTCTGCTTCGTCATCGGAAACAGGTGCTGACCAGGCAAGAGAGGCGCCCAGTGCACTACCCGGACCGGCGGGGCGCGGCTCCACCGATGGAGGCACAGGTGGATCCTGGCAGACTGATAGCAGCAATTATGAGCGCAGCAGCCTAGGATGTATGTGGTCTTTCCCCCCTTCTGTTCACGATGCCATTGTCGATGGCCGGGAGGCCACCCCTATAATCCTCGACCAGGTGCACGCCTTACTGTTTGTGTTGGATCTCGGCCGTTTGCTTTGGGTCCACCGGCATGTCCTGCACACTGCCTCTGTGCCCTTTCCGCCACCACGTAAACCTAGCTGTGTAGTCAGCCCATTCGGGCTCCAAGGCTACGATGACTCTACCCCAAAAGCTCTGCATGCCCATTGGGCCTTAGGGGGTGTTCCAGGTTCAGGCAGGACCCCTTCCCCTAATCCTGATTGGATCCCTCCTGCCGTAGAGGTCGATGATCCAGGGAGGCATGTTGCCGATGAAGGCGACGCCTCGCTTCCGGCAGTGCGCCCCGAGGCTGCTGCAGCTGCCCCCACTCTCCACCACCCCGGGGCTCGGAGCTCGGGGCAGAGATCGCAAGTGCAAGATCCTGTGAAACCCCTGAAGGGGTGGCTTCTTGGCTTTGTCCTCTTGGGCCGGCCAGGCACAGCGTGCTTTGGGGATGCCGACTATAGGGCCTTATGGGGTGCTTGCGCCTGCAGCCAGCCGTGTCTCGTGTTCGGCCATTCCCCTTGCCAGGGGCTGCTCTCCTTCAATTCCGGACGATCACGGCGCTCCCTGTGGGCCGCCCCATGCTGCTCGCCCTCTCCCCACGCCATGCCGCGGCCGTTTTTCAGATGCAGCCCAGGCCTCCGAGTTGGGACGGGGACCAACCCTACTCGAAGAAGCTGTCAGACTCTCTGGGGGGAACCCCTTGAGAGGCATCAACTTTGCTCGCTGCGATATTTGAGCACCACGCCCAGGTCGGCCGTGACCTGCCCTGCAGGAGGGGGGGAGGATCCCGCGCACTCTCTCTTTGTGATGTAATTGCGCCGCCCCTTCCTGACATTACCCCTCGTGCTGTTGTTGTTCTGGCTGGCCTCCATTGCCAGCAGCTTGTCTTGCCTGACGCTCCTTTGCGAACCTTTGGTAACAAGTGCGGACGCGTGCAAGTTGGAGGGCTGTGCATGGATTTTTCCTACCAGGACCTCCAGGCCTTTCTCACGATGCCGTGCCAACTCGCTGCCCTCGACCGCGTCATGCGATTGGCCCCTGCTGCAGATGTCTCCAAGCTCTTTAGTGTCGGAGTTGATGCCACAGGCCTTACGGATACACGCCTCCATTGCTTCACTGATGGCTCGTTTACTGCCTCGCGTGGGGACAGACGAGCCAAGCTCGGTTGGGCGTGTGTGCTTGTTGACCCAGTACATGCGCGCATAGGCCTTTTGTCGGGAAGGCGACCTGACTGGCTGCCAGAAGACTCTGACCCCCCGTCAGCTTTCGTTGCTGAATGCCTTGCACTTGAGGTTGCGCTCCGGCTGTGTGGCACCGCGTTATGGCATGTCCCGGTTGTCATTCGCAGCGACTGCTTTTCCGCTCTGGAAATCGCGGCTGGGCGTGCACTCAGCACTGGCGAGGGTGTCGCTGGGGTGCTTCGGCACGCGGGGTCCTTCGGCCGTGCTGCAGCGCGCTATCCGCCGGTTCTCGAGCATGTTCGAGGTCATACCGGTTGCCTCTTTAACGAAGTTGCTGATGTTGTGGCTAAACTGGCAGCAAACGGGCAGGACCTTGGGGCCTTTGTTTCCCCGGGAAGGGACGGTTCCCTTGGTGGGGTCGTAACGGCCGGGCTTTGGATTGGGCAGGCCTTGTGTGCCAGTGTGACTCCGCCAACCCTTGCTTGCCAGCACTAGGTGGATCCACAGGGGCGTGCAGTTCCGATGCCGGGCTCACACCACTCCAGTGCATTGAACCCTTTCTACCTTTCGTCAACTCCGAACCCCACGCCGAGCGCAAAACCGGCCGCCTCCTCTTACACCTTGCCACCTACAATGTTCTGTCTCTGTGTGGTAAAGCCTTTCAGGACGACCGCACTGCTGGTCTCGCCTTTGTGCCTGCCAGACCGGCCATCCTTGCTGCAGCCTTCCATGCCTGTGGCGTCACTGTGGCGGGAGTTCAGGAGGCTAGGACGGAAGAAGGCCGGTTGACCACTGAGGGCTTCCTGCGGATTTGCTCCGGAGCGACTAAAGGCCAGTTCGGTGTTGAGCTTTGGTTCAAGGTCGGTTGCCCGGTCGTCATTAGTGACGAGGACAGTTCCGCACTTGTCACGTTCGAACCAGCGTCATTCACCGTCTTGCATGCGGACCCTCGAAGGTTGTTGGTTCTTTTCTCTGCCGCTGATGTGCGATTTCTCTTTGTGGCACTGCATGCTCCGCATAGGGGTGCCGAGGGCCATATCCTAGATAGCTGGTGGTCAGAAACCCTGCAACTTCTTGAGAAGCATGCCGCTCGAGGGTCGGTTTTCTTGCTCGGGGACTTTAATGCGGCGGTTGGTTCTCTTACTTCCTGCTCCGTTGGGGATCATGACGCCGACGCCCAGGATCCCGCCGGCGACTTTTTGCATGACACCCTGCAGCGACTGTCCCTCTGGCTACCTGCCACGTTCTCGTCAGTCCACGACGGACCAAGTGGCACATACGTGCAGAAGAGAAATCAGGCAGAGAGTAGAATTGACTTTGTTGCCATTCCGGGGTTCTTTTCGCAGAGTCAAGTTTGGTCCTGGATTGAGCCCAGTATCCATGCTGGCCAGCCCATCATTGACCACCTTGCGGCCCTGGTATCTGTCTGTGCCCGTATTGTCACGAGCCGGGGGAAGCCTACGACCAAGCGTCCTCGCGTCAACGCCAGCTTGTTGCTGACTCCTGAGGGGCAGGCATGTGTGGCCAAGGTCGTTACTAGTGCCCCTCAGGTGCCGTGGGAGGTTGGGCCGGACGCTCATGCGGCGCTTGTGGTCGCGCACTTGCAGGAGGGGCTGAAGGAAGTTGTTGCCGTGCAGGGTAAACAACCCAAGCATCCTTACATTTCACAGGAGACCTGGTCTCTTCAGAGGCAAGTCGCGGGGATCCGTCGGCGCCTCTCCAGGCTTAAGGGGGCCGTTCGGTCCCAAGAACTTGCTTCTGCATTTGCCTCTCTCCGGCTAGGGCATGGAGGACCGCTGCGTACTTGCTGGGGCTCTGCCTGGATGCAATCGGCCCGTGGCACTTCAATCCAACTGGGCCAGGCCCTCCAGTCTGCCTCTAAGCAGTTGCGTGCGGGGTGCAAAGCCGACCGTGCTCACTTCCTGAGTAACCTAGCAGACTCTGTTAGCGCAGGAGGGCAATCCGCGCATGAGGACCTCCGAAGACTCCTGTGTATGCGAAAGCGCAAGCCTTTCGCACCAGAACTGTTGCCGCAGCTCCTTGATGAGAAAGGTGAACTTTGCGGAGATCATGATGCCACTCTGGCCAGATGGCGGCGGCACTTCAGCCGGCTTGAGGGCGGTGTGGTACTTGAGCCTCAGAGCGTCGCCGCCTTGCGCCCGCCTCCTCCCTTTTGTCCTGAGGCCGTACCTGCGGAGGATTTCCCGACCCCTGCAGACCTGCTGGGAGCCATACTGCACACGAAGTCCGGCAAAGCGTGTGGGCCGGACGGCATCCCCGCCGAATTCGGTAAGGCTGACCCAGTTGCCTTCCAACAGCTCTTGTGGCCTCTCTTACTGAAGGTCGGTCTTTTGTGCAAGGAACCTCTGGGTTTCAAGTCTGGAATTTTGACTTGGCTCTACAAAGGGAAGGGATTCTGCGCCCTTTTGGGTCAAGCCGATCCAGGCACCGTTCTGCACACTGAACGCCTCCGCTATGCGCGCCAGCTAGTGTGTAATGGGCCCGAAGTCTTGTGGGCTTTGGTGCGATGTGACAATGCCTACCTGTGTGGTGTCCGGGAAGCCTTCCGGTGGTTGTTTGCTTGGGTCCGTGCCACCACTGCTCTCCCAGATCCTGCCGAGGCTTGGGCCCCTTGGGTCGATGTCATGTGAAATCGCCCCGGCCTTTTTCGCGGCCTCGTCAAGCGGGCAAAGGCGCTTGAGGTTGTTCGCACCTCCTGTTATGCTGCATTGCAGGCCCTCCTGCGCTCCCTTGAGCAGATTGGCGGCGCGCGTGAGGCCGCAGTCAGGGCGGAGGGCGAGCGCCCTGATCGGTATACCGAGGCCTGCCTCATCTGCCGCATCGCCTTCCCCACGAGGGCTGCGTGGTCCGTGCATGCGGCCAAGAAGCACGGGTACCGCGCCCCCACGACCCTTCTTTCCAAGGAGGTTGAAAAGCCATTGTGTCTGGGGTGCGGCCGCCTGTACGCGAACGCCGCTCGCCTGCGCCGGCACCTGTTGCACTCTGCTAAGTGCCGTGAGGGATGGGGGAGTTTCTGCCCAGATGTTTCTGAGTGTGGAGCGCTGCACCCGCAGATGCCTCCGCTTCGTGTGGCTGGCACCGTCCACGCCGGGGACAGGCCCGATCCGGCACGCATGGGCTGGTTGATGCGCTTTTGGCTTTGACCTCCCCTGATGGGGATGAGGTGTGGCAGACTCTGCTGGATTTCGCAGAGCCACTTGATGTCCTCAAGCAGTCGTTGCAGGACTGGGCCACGCACCCCGATGCTGTTCCTGCCGCGGCTGAACTCGCCGAGGATGCCCGTCTCTTGCTCGACCCAGAACTCTGGTGCGAAGATTTCAGGAAGGGTAAGGGTCGTGCGCAAGGTTTTCAGGCGTGTGTGGACTTACGGCAGCCCGTTGCATGCCGCTTCGACTTTGTCCTTACCGGGGTCAAGGCTGAATTCCGGGTCGACGACCCACCGCTCCCGGAGTTCGTTTACCCCTTTCGGCACAGTGTTCCGCTTACGGCCGCTCGCCGGCATTTGGCCTGGCTTGAGCATGCCTGTGACACCTTTGGTGCCTTCCTGTCTGCAACCCAGTCGTCGCCAGTCTCTCTTACTGCCTCCCCCAGGGCGTTCGGAAGGAAGGATATATATGTATATAGTCAGCTATATTCATCTTTCTTCATCAACATTCATGCATGCAATGGTGATAAGACTAGTCAGAATAATAGAAATGATAGTCCTAGGAGTAATACTAGGAATAATCATGATAATAATAGGCAACATGGTTATAATAGAAATAGTACACACATATTACCAAGAAGCCAAGAAACCAAGAAGCGAAGAAGGGCAGAAGCCGCGAATCCGCGAAGCCAAGAAGCCAGGAAGCTGACAAGCCCTAGTGATAGTACACATGTGCGCAAGAAGCCCAGAAGCAAAGAAGCCGAGAAGCCGCGAAGCCGAGAAGCCGGGAAGCCAAGAAGCCGCGAAGCCGACAAGCTGGGAAGCCGAGAAGCCAACAAGCTGGGAAGCCGAAAAGCTAG